AAAGTCGACTGGCCACATTTTGGAGAAACTGGGCTGAAGTACGATACTACACCAGTCGTATGACACAGATATTGCTCCATCGAAATACCATCTCTTTCGCGCCGAAGCAGCTCTTTAGGTAACAGTTTAAATTCTACAATTATTCAAAATGCTACATCATCGACTTCTTTGTTAGCGAGCCTCGTTCTTTTATGGAGAAAAGCATCCAATCTTTACCCAATGAATGATTGTATATCATTCAGGATAGTGATTATGTTTATTGAACGACTGATTTTTTTAAGTAAATAACAACTGCATCAACACGAGTTGAAATTCGAAGGTCATGGCGGGACAGCATAATTCTTACCCGAAGGCAGAACTCCTCAGTTGACATCTGGACTGCTTTTCCCAAAAGGCCACATCTAGTTCACCTTTTTACTTTCTACTTTACTGATCCGTCTTCACAGTGTTTTATTTTTGCACTGCAGATCCCACTACTTCTATAATTCTATTCGTCTTTTTGTCTTTTCCTTGAATGACATACATAACTGGTTGAGCCACCCTCCTTGCAATATCCAGGATAGGCTGGCTGTGAGGTTCCATGGGTTATTCTTACTGACTACCGGACAGAGTTGAAGGGTGGAGCTCGGCTCCACATGCACCGCGACGAGCAACACAACCACTCGGCCATGGCACCCCACTCCAACAAGTCTGCCAATATCTATCCGCTGCGTATAGAGGCAGAAGACGAAAATATTATATAAGCTTGAGTGTCATATTCGAAAGATAACGATTGTATATTAACTCTCCAACGGATTCGTTCAATATTCTCTTCTATTTCGTGACGTGGGAGAGTGATCGAATCTGGGGGAGAGCGGTCGAATCGATCATTTCAGGTGTCGAAAACAAACCGATCGTGGTAGCCCCGGGGCGGACGCACCGCGACCGTGTCGCGCGGATAGTCGAGCCGCGACACTCAGCGCTCCTCGTCATCCGCAAGCGGTTGTGATACATTCCCTCGTTTTTAGATCGACTTGCCAATATCTCACGTTAATCATCAGTCATCTCGTGCTTCTCGTAAATGTCGAATGTCGCTCTCTAGCGTTCCGTTGGGTTGTGAAGTTGTGACTTGGGACGTAGACCCCATCGCCGAGCACTCGAAGAGATGCTATGCTTACTTCTCCGGGCAAGAAAGTCAGCCCCTTAAATGCCCTCCCCCCCCTTCTGTACAAACGACTTCCAGGCCCAAATCACATTATATACAATGACGCCACTGGTTCCAACTCCGATGAAAGCGTCACGGGGCAATTATAGCACCATCAAGACTCTTCCGACTGGCCATGTTTTGAGAAACACATCAACATCTAAGTTCATCATGTCAGTCCGCTCTCCTCTGATTCGCTCCCGCAATCGTCCTAGCGCTGTATAAGTGCCGTACAAGACCTCATAACAACCTCAAACACGTTATCATATTATCAGGCTACCACTGTTTTGAGTGATTTATATAAAATTGAGTGTAGAGATATGTAATACCGTACCTGTAATCAATTGTTTTAGGTTGCTCGTTATGGGCTATCGTTTGCTCGTTTACTGAATATTCACTATTCGTTAATCGTTATATACTGATATTCACTGCTTGCTGATACCGTCCATCGAGTCTCACAGGGCATTAATTGATCGCTACATGTCGATCCAGACACGACGTACGACACGGGCAATGGAACTACCGGTCCACCACAGAGTCGCAACTCAATCGGTTCAGCTGCGACACTGCACTGGTCCGGCAGTTCGTCAGTCGTCACAATCAACCGGTAGTTCGTCAATGATCACTATCTGGTATATCAACTGTACCGAACAGAAATCCACTGAACCCAAATGAATAGAATTTTTTTTTGTTTGACCGCTTTTAGCGGTGTTATGATGTTTCAGATATGCCCAGTTATGTAGAGTGATGTGCAAAACTTTTGCGTCAGGCGGGACTCGAACCCACATCTCACTCTATCCGGCAGTGAGTGCTCTAATCCACTGCACCACTGACGCCCATTTTGTACACCATAGATCCGCTGTAGCGTAGCGTCAATAGTGCAACGGATACAGCGCGCTATCAGACAGAGTGAGATGCGGGTTCGAGTCCCCTCTGCCGCAAAGTTTTGCACATCACTATACATCACTGCGCATATCTGAACCCAATCAGTTTCTGGTGCATCAAGTTGCTACAAAATCCATTGAACCGATCAGTTTCTGATGCGTCAATCGCACTGGAACGTCACGTGAACTTATATAGATTATATACTATGAATTTAAATATCACATTGCATATAACAAACATTTCAATCAACTACGTTGTACCGTTCGTTTCGAGTGTTTTCCTAAGACCACGCTCGAATTCCAATATATCTAATAATTATTATTTGATTCAAAGGTCATGCGATCTGCTATGGGCTCTTGTACAGCCTATTGCACGTGCTTTCGCCTTGGCTCTCTCGTCGCTTCGCGCTGGCCCATCGTCCTTAGCTAATCCCCTGGGCGTGCTCCAGTCCCCCTACTTAGAGTGGGCGACGATGAAGGATTTACTAGTGCCGTCAAGTGAATAAATCATTAGATCGGCAATGTTGTGCACTCGATTGTTCTTGGCTGCAATTTTCGAATATTATACCGTTTGTTTCGGGTGCTTTCTTAAGACTACACTCAAATTCCAATATAGCTTATTTTTGAGCCAGCATGTCATGTGGTCTTTTGGACAATCGAGTGTACAACACTGCTGATCTGGTGATTTATTTCACTTGAAGGTGCGTGTAGGTCGTTCGTAGTCGCCTCCTCTAAGGGGACTGGAGCACCCGGAGAGGATTGAACAAAGACGAAAAACAAGCTTTCTCTTTGGAGTTCTAGCAACCAATCGATAGATCAGATCTTAAAAATTCCAACAATTTATTTGATTTTGAATATTGACCGAGTATCACGCTATAACAGCGAAAAGAAGATTGGGCTTTGCAAAACTGAAAAAAGCATCAAGTGAGAAACGTAATGTTCTTTTTGGTTCTCATGAAGCACTAAGAAGTCCGTTTAGAAGCCAAAGACATTATAGAATTTCGATATTTGATCTGTCGTTTGTTTTTTGAAACTGTAAGAGAGAGGCTTTGGCCGAGAAATCTTCGAATAAGGAACAATTATTATTTTTGCTCCTTCAGCAGAATAATAATGCCTTTTTGAAAGTGATATACACCAGTCAAGTCTTTTGATATGAGCTATCAATAGACTATTTGATTATCAAAACGATCAAGAAATACGTTTTTCCCAATGGATCGAAATGAAGAGAGTATAGTTGACGTGACCCATTTTTGCGGAACTCAATCTTCTTTTGGCTGTTACAGCGTAATACCAAGTCCATTGTAAAACCAACTTAATCATTGGAATTCTCAAGATTTGGTCTATCGGCTGGTTAAAAGAGCTTCGAAGGGAAGCTTTGCTTAGCGAGGATCTTCCAATGAGAAACAAAATTATATTTTTGCTCTTTCAGCGCAATAACAAGGTCTTTTGGAAGTGAAACAAACAATTAAAATTTTTTCGATTTGTGCTTTCGAATAACTATTTGAACATTGGAAAAGCCAAGAAATACTCTTCTTACAAGGGGTCAAAATGGCGCTCAGACAATGGAAGAGTACCCATATTACATATTGTTATAAGTAAAGACGGAGCACAAATTTTTAGGACTCCGTCTACGACCATACTATCGAGGCCACCGTTTCGCTAAGGTTTTTCTCAATATCGCATAACAGCTATCAGAAGCGCTGGTAGTGTGAAACATAGGTTCAACTTTCTCTTGAGGTTCGGAATGCTACACTTCGCCCCACAACATAATAACATTTTTTCCTATAAAAGCAGTAAAATGAAAATTCCTGTAGGTTATTTTGAGGCTACTGTTCATCTTAAGAAAGGCAAAATTTATGCAGTAGGGGTAAATTGTTGGCTGGTACTGCTTTTCAGAGAGAATTTTTGTTAATCTGTGCTAATAGTATAAGGTTATTGATTGTTAAGTGAATATTTTGACTAACAGACTCACAACACTAGCATTATGTAAAATGTGAGCCGGAAATTGTGCTCTTCTCGCAACGGTTTAGTTTTCTCATTGAAAAATGTGCCTTGCTAGGAGTTCCGGCTTTTTTTTTTCACTAGAAATACCTTGACAAAGGTCACCGTGTGATATTTCAATTCCTTATTACAATGCAAATCAAATTTCAAACTTCACAGTAATGATTACCAATGAATTCTCTATGAATTTCAAGCGATAGGCTATCTACTTTGGAAGCGAAATGCAGTATTCTCTAATCAGACTGTAGAAGGAACACTAAGCAAATCTATCATGACAGCAAGTTCCAGGGTTAGACTCGACGTTTGCTCAACTTATCAAATAACATTCAAAAGTCTAGTAAAAAACTGCGCTCGGACATTTAACGCGCTAAATGCCCGTACACCCAGAAAGGCGCACACCCTCTCCTGAGGAGTAAAGGGTAGAAAAAGGTCAAACTTTTGGAGTAGATAGATTCCCGAGAAATGCTCCATGCACTCTTCCTCAATTTTTAGCTTTCTTTGAAATGACTGAATGATAAGTGAACTTTACAGTGACACGTGGTAGGCTGTCGATGTATCAAGTCAGTGCTGCTATGCTCTCAGAAAAGTCTGATACCAGTTCACCGACTCCGGAGAAAGTAAGGATTATCGAGCCTTGAGCTCAGGGTCAAACCAATAACCATTGACTGGTCGATCATGTGAAACGCAGCGTACTTCCAACCACTGCACCACATGCGCCCCTGAGAGGTAAGATATTGAAGTGTTTCTTGATCAGTCAAATAATCTCTTAATTTTAAGGTAAGAACTATGCCTATAATTTATTACTTAAAATATGACCGAGTCTACATTGACCTCGGCATCGGTAACTAATCCACTGTTTCTACAGCAGATACAAGGTTGTATTACACTGTTTATTTATATGCTTAAGAGAATTGAACGGTAAGCAAAAGCTCGGCCTCACGTGGGAATCGAACCCGCGTTTCATCCATACCGGGAGCACATGCTACTACGACTGCACCACCGAGGCACGTTTCACCTCCTCACTCAGTTCTCTTAGGTACATATGTAAAAGCAATAACAGTGCAAAAAAAGCAATAAAACACTAGAATTTCAGAGCATTACATCTAGCAATGGCTGTCAGCTCAACTTATAAAAGTGAAATCGCATACGTGACAAAACCAGTACAAGATTTTTGGCTGGTAGCTAACATAGAGATGCTTGAGAACGAGTGTTGGAGCAAATGGGCATCGGTGGTGTAGTGGTAGTAGCACGCGTTCCTGGTATGGACAAAACGCGGGTTCAATTTCGCCTGAGGCCGCATTTTTGTCCACCACTCAATTCTCTTAGGTATATATGTAACACTGCGAAAAAACAGTAGAAAATACTAGGGTTTTGGAGTATTGCACTGTTTATTCACAATTTATGGCCTTTCGGTTGCATATATACCTTCCTTTTTTCTTTGGAGTTTCGAAAATTCAAATTAATATGTGGTTGATTTAGAGAAGCACTTTTATAAAGCAAGATGAAAAACTCGGTACATAAACTGCTATGAAACAGCGTTAGAAAAAACACTGTTTTTTTTGAAAAAAATCTGATTTTTATTTGATTTTAGTATAACTAATCAAGGCGTGTTTTTTCTTTGAGAAGCTTATAAGGCTTATTAAAAGACTATTTGTCCAACATTCTGCCGCCCTTGCCTGTACGCAGCCCAATTGTATCGAGTCAATTGCCCATAGCTCTTCTTACTTTCGATGTCAGTCATCGTGGTCACCAAGTGGATATCAGTGCAGCACCGCTTGAATGATTATCAACAATCCTGTCATTAGTACAGCAGTTGTTCTGCATAAAGGAGCACTGTCTAATTAGGTTAACCCTTTGACTTCCGTGGACCCGCAGCCTCCTAAAGATTAAAGGACTCAAACTGTTTGCGTAACTAACCCGCGATAGTAATAGTACATACATTAATGGATTGAAGCACGATTTCTATCGCTCGCGCTTTACGTTATTAAGGATTCACTACCAAGGACTGGTTTAGTTTGACTTTTTAATAATTATTATTATTTAATTATTTAATTAATATTTAATTATGATCTGAGCAAACATGTCATGTGGTCTGTTAGTGGGCTTTTGTGCAGCCCGATAAACTGTTTCAATCTTACAGTCTCGTCAGTCGAGCAGAACCCTTCGTCTTTAGCCAAACCTCTCGGGAGCCCCTACTCTCCCTGTAAAGAGGTAAGTGACGACGAACACGTTTATCGGGCTGTACAGGAGCCCATTAACAGACTACATGACATGTTGGCTCAGGTAATAATTATGAGATGTATTGAGATTTGAGCGTGATCTTGATAAAACATTCGAAATAAGATGTAATGTTACAATATAGCAGCCAAGAGCGATCGAGTATACATTGTCTATTCGGTGATAATTTCACTTGAACGGCAGTGTAAAATGTTCGTCGTCAGTTACTTCTTTATGGAAGACTTGGGGCTCTCGAGAGGATTGACTAAAGACGAATGTTGTGGCCCGACTGATGAGGCTGTAAGGTAGAACACTTGTATGAGGCTGTAGAAAACTTACCTCACCAACGCTCATGGAGAAGACGGATTCCTCATGAAAACAATGAATGCGAGTAGACGAATCTAATGCTAGAACTACAGGGATATGCGCAATATTTGAAGACGGGTCACGTAAAATGAGCTCTGATATCTCAAGATTCCAAAGGGTGGAGTGCATGACATCCTTTTCATGTTGATGAGTAGAAAAGACAACATATCTTCGATCCGCCGTTCAACTTTATGCTTGAGCAGATTCGTCACGGTTAATGAAGGATGCTCCAATGAGAAAAGTAATATGATCCGCATGAAAAATTTGTTTTCTAACTATCTAATGGTGTTTTCTCTAGTGCTTCAAAAAATCTTAATTATACCTTATATAGGGAGGCCCATGCGCTCGTGTCACGTATTCTAAACCTTACTATGTATCTGCTAGCAAAGCTCTTTATGAAGTTCAAATAACGAGCTTACCATTCCAAAGGCTAGACGTCTTTTTCTTCTATTACTACTGCTTTCTAGCAAGTCCTTTTTAAAACCCAACCCAAACTCTCCACATCTCAAGCTATCGAACAACTGCTAATAGCGCACTGAAAAGGAAGTACTAGTTGCTGATTATGAGAAGACTCGAAACGAAAGATATGATATATCAAATATACTAACCAAAAGCAACCGAGTGTGCAACAATCTGTGTTTGATAATTTCACCAGACATAGAGTGTAGAACGTTCGTCGTCGCTAACTCTCGGTGTGGGAACAGGAGCACGCACATAGGATTGGCCATTGACGAGAAAGGTAACTGCCCGACTGACGAGATCGCAAGGTCGAAATATTGTATCAGACTCTATAAGTCAACCCATCTTAACACATGACATGCGTGGCTTAAAAATGATTATTCGGCATATTGAATTTTGAGCCGTGGCCAACACTCGAAACGAAGGATATGATTTATGAGAAGAATAAATTCTGCACAACAAGGGTGAATTGTTTGTCGGTGTTGATTTATAGGCAAAGATAGATTGCTGTTGATCAAAACTGATTATTGAGTATTATTTTCTGAGATAAGGAAGTAATTGTTCAGGGCCAAAACTATGCATTTCTTGTTGAGAAGTAATCTTCAAACTGAAGAATAGCGATTCTCCAAAGCCACTTTGAGTTTACACCAAAGCTTCCCTCTAATAAGTCCCTTCTAGAAGTGGTAAAATGTAGGAAATGTATTCTCACAGTTTTACAATATCGCAGAAGTAAATGTGCAATAAGAGAACTGCACTGTTATCCGAAGGATGGAGTCATAGCACAGATAATTAAGAATTTCTAGGACAACTAAGCGAACCTCTTGTTAATAATACGATATTTTAACATTATTATTTTAATACGGTATGGTCTTTTGATACGATATAATATTAGACTTTCCGCGATATTTTTAATCTATGTGCCAACTATCAACCGTCAACAGTAAATTGTTACTGTTCTTCAAGTCCTAAAGTCGTCGCCTTATTCAAAGCCGTCACGCAATAAAAACTCCATGGCAACTCAGTACAACCAAATATTGGATGCAAAGCGGAGTAATTCTTAAACAAGCACAAAGCATTTGTGATGTAAATAGTAAAAAGCTTCTAGGAATCGTTGTACGGTGCAGGAAAAGTTATAGTGCTTTGTAAGTCGTAGCAATAAATCAGCAACACACCATACATTAGCCTTCGGCATGAGTAGCTAAATTATGTTTCGAACCATCATTCTACAAGCTTGCCCGGGGTTTTTATCCCATGTTTGAAAGCGATGGCTAACGTTTGAAAATTCTCCTTTTTTAGAGTCTTGATGAATTCATATATTCCTAAGAGAACTGAGTGGTGAGCAAAAACATGGCTTCAAGCAGGAATCGAACCCACGTTTCATCCTATCCAGTGGATAGGTTGGTAGCTGACAGCTAATACAGAGATGTTGAAGAATGAGCGATGCCGCAAATGTGACTCGGTGGTGTAGTGGTAGAGCACGCGTCCCCAGATAAGATGAAGCTCGGGTTCAATTTGCGCAGAGGCCGCGCTTTTGCTCACCACTCAATTCTCTTAGGAATCTATGAATCCGTCAAGACTCTAGAAAAAAAGGAAAATTTTCAAACGTTAGCCATCGCTTTCAAACATGCGATAACAACTCCGGGCAGCTTGTAGAATGGTAGTTCAAAACATAATTTGGATCTTCATGCCTAAGTCTAGCGTAAGGTGTGTTGCTGATTTATTGCTGCGACTTACAGAGCAGTGTAAACTTTTTCCTGCACCGTGAAAGGATTCCCAACAGCTTTTTACTATTTGCATTACAAATGCTTTGCACTTGTTTGAGAATAACTCCGCTTTGCATCCAATATTTAGGTGTACTGAGTTGCCATGGAGTTTTTATTGCGTGGCGGCTCTAAAGGCGATGACTTTAGGACTTGAATAACAGTAACAATGTACTGTTGACGGTTGATTGTTGGCTAATAGATATTGAATATTGCGGAAAGATCAATTTTATATCGTATTAAAATATTATATCGCATTAAAGTAATAATATTGAAATATCGTATTATTAATTTGAAGTTCGCTTAGTTGTCCTAGAAATCCTTAGTCTCCAGTGCTATGACTCCATCTTTCGGATAACAGTGCAGTTCTCTTATTGCACATTTACTTCTGCGATAATGTAAAACTGCATTTTGAGAATAAATTTTCTACATTTTACCACTTCTAGAAGGGACTTATTAGAGGGCAGTTTTGGCGTGTAGTCGAAGTGGCTTTGGTAGAGCTCGAATTCATTAGTTTGAAGATTACTTCTCAAGAAGAGATGCATACTCTTGGCCCTGAACCATTATTTCTCTATCTCAGAAAATAATACTCAACAATCAGTTTTGGTCAAGAGCAATCTACCTTTGCCCATAAATCAGCACCGGCGGGCAATTTACCCTTGTTGTGCAGAATTTATTCTTTTCCTAATCATATCTTTCGTTTCGAGTGTTGATCACACCTCAGAATTCAACAGGCCGAATAATCATTTTTGAGCCACGCATGTCATGTGGTCTGTTAAGATGGGCTGACTTATAGAGCCCGATACACGTGTTTCGAGCTTGACGGTCTCGTCAGAAGGGCAGTTTCCCTTCGTCTTTAGCCAATCCCTTGGGGCGCTCAGTCTCCTATACTAAGAGTAGGCGACGACGGACATTTTACACTCCATGTTCGGTGAAATTATTACCAAACTCACAGTGTTGTACACTCATTGCTCTTGACTGGTTTTTATTAGTATATCACACCTTTCTTTTCGAGCGTTTTTTTTGAGACACAGCTCAAATTTCAATATGCCAGATAGTCATTTTTGATTTTGAGCCACGCATGTCATGTAGCCTGTTAAAAGGTATGATATACTATTGATCCTAGGCAAGAGCAATCGCGTTTCGTTTCTTGCTACTATCGTTCAGAGCAGCTTTTTGCGGTTGTTTAGATGGATAGCACTTGAGCATTTATTTTACAGTGAAAATGAGAGCAAAAACGATTATTGATGCTACACGAGTATCGTTTTATTTCATAAGCCGCTGAGACTTTCCGTCTCAATGAAGATGTCCAGAGTGACGGAATAGTTAGAATAATTGCAGCTTTTGATCGCTTTGATGAATTCAAGACTGGAAATGAGTATTAATGCATAGACAAGGAGCCGGCCGCTCACAAGAATTTGACTGGCAAGCTGTTTTGAACGGGACTGAGACGTCTCCATTGTTGACTGCTCGCATGTTGGCAGACGATTTCAA